TTTTGGGAATTATTGAGAAGATGTGCATGTTGGACTATTTATTTAATTAATAGTATACTATATGAAAATATTAGTATTATTATTATTAAAATGAATATAAGGGAAATAAGGGTAAATTGGGCATTATGAAGAGTTAGTAAGGGTGTTATGGAAAAAACCCAATTTGTGAGGCCCAATACTAAGTTAGACAAAATTGAGTTCTGAAAGGAAATCAGATTTCATTTTGTGTTTAACGTGAAAGTCCGTGGCCAGAGCTCTGAAGGAAAGGCTGGAAGCAGAAGATCCCAAAGATTAATCGTGAAAGTTGCGAATCGACTAAGGTATGGGGAGTATCACATTTCATGATTTTCCATGTATGCCTTTTAGTGTGTTTATGGTTGATTTAAGATTTAAGGTATTTTGGGTTTGTTGTGGGAAAATAGGGAAATTGGTGATAAGGCTTTGAGGTTATGGTTAATGGTATGTAATACTGAATATTGATATGAGAAAGGAAACCTTAGGCCTTTGTGGCCAAAACCTTAGATCGTTATATGTCCGCCCATATGGGATGGAATATTTGATATTTGAAATTATGATGCCTTCGGAGCAATTGTAAGGAAATTGACGGTAGACCCTGGAGGTTAGTGGTTAGTATTCTTGACCCTTTGAGTGTAGAGATGAGAAATAATAATTTTTGCCTTCGTGGCCAAAACCTTGGATTGTGATATGTTTGACCCTGTAGGAATATGAATGTTCATATGTGAGTAACTCTGATGCACTCAGAGCAATTGCAGGAAAATAGTGATTTAGGCAGTGCAAATGTTGTCGGATTGGCCTAATAAACCGTAGGTTTTGTGCCTTTATCGCCGTAGGACCTTAGGGATGATTTAGGGATGTTTTAGGGGCATTAAGGAAGTGAATCGTGTGGACTTTTGGGTTGATTTAGGTTTCGGAGCGTAACAGCATTTTGCTGTTCGTCACGACTGTTCATGTTTTTGGTCGAAATTGTTTTGGACGTAACTTTTGATCCGTAAGTCCGTTTTGACCCCCGTTCGAAGCGTTAGAAAGCTAATAACAGAGCTATAACATAGTATAGATAAGGGAATTGTTTTTCCAATATTTTTATATCTAATTATGTTTGAGAAGTCAATTGTGTATATGTTCTATTAATGAATCATGTTCTGGTTCAAGGATGTCTTGATGTTTTGATGCTGCGATTTTCTTGATGAATTACCATGAGGGTAACTGTGATAATATGATGAATTAACATGAGTAGAACCGTGAAGTTTATGTGATTGATAGGCGATAGTGTGGGGATTACCGTGAGTATAACTTGATAAATTAATATGAGATGATATGAGGGTAGTACTATGAATTAATATGGGGTAATATGGGATAAAATGACTATGAGCTAATATGTGATTTATACGGGATTATATGATGACATGATGTGTGAGATTAATTAATATGATGGTCTATGATGATATATTGTATGATGAATAATATGGTGAATTATGATGGTATGATGTATGATGATTAATGTGATGAAATATGATGATATGTTGTATAATGATGATTACTGTGATGAGATATGATAACATGATGTATGATGGTGATTGTTACGATGAGCTATGATAACATGATGTATGATGATGATTGTTACGATGAGCTATGATGACATGATTTATGATGATGAATATGACGATGAGATATGACGTGTAATGATGATGAATATGATGAATGATGATGCACAATATGCTGTTATTATGAGGATTATTGTGAAGTGTGCATCATGCATTCATGTGCATCCAGATTTCGGTTCAGGACCTCGATTACTTTGACTTCAATCCCACTGTGTGGATGTGAAGTATTTTGATGTGCTCTGATCCTACTGATGGGGATCTATGGAGGGTTGATGGCCTAGTGTCCATCGAGCTGTGATGATTGGTACGACATGCATTGAGTCTATGTTGCATTTGAATTTATGAGCCTTTGTGTATAATTATGACATTGTGGCCTTTGAGGCATAATTGAAGAATATCAATGTGTTGAATATAACTATGAGTAATATGTCGTTTATGCATTAATTGTTATACATTGATTATTATGAATTGTCTTACTCACCATGCATGTTTGAATGTTACCTCCACGTGGATAACATGCAGATGAGCAAGTTTAGCCGTGGACGCCGTCGAGGAGTATTGTGACGTTTTAGAGTCGTTAGCCTTATGGTTAATGTAGAGGGTCTTGCTCTGATATGTAACATCGGGTTGGATTCTTTAAGTTAATTGTATATCATTGGGTTATTTTACTGATGTTCCCTTATGAGGAAAACATTGAGTTATGTTTTGAGTTCCGCTGTATATGATGTTTTGATGTATTTTGACAAAACCCGTATGTTACGGAGTATTGACCAATTTTGTTGACTTTGAGAAATGTACGCCCTTTGTGGCTTTTTAATGAAAGTAAATATTTTACTCTGAAATCCGTGTTATTTTACTGTAATATCTGTGGGGTAGAATAAGGGTGTTACATTTTACCATGAAATATGAAATGGATTCCATGTACACAAACCATGATATAAGTATGTCTTAAAAAAAAGAATGACATGGATGGTAAAATGTGTACCTCACTACGCCAGAATTGACTTTTAGCAGCGTATACAAAGACAACGCTTTTAGAAAAAGCGCTGCTAAAGAGTCATTAAAAAAACAGCATACCTAAGACAACGCTTTTTGAAAAGCGCTGCTAAAGGGGGACCCTAAGAAAGCGTTTTAATTTTGGATATTGTAGTAGGATATTGTAGGTTTAAAGGGATGCAATTTGGATACTCTCGACGAATTTTGTTCTAGTTTGAGTTCGAGATATAACATGTACTCCTTTAGTTTTTTTTATTATAAATTGTTTTAGAAAAAAAAATTGTACCACAATATAAATCACTTTACATTATCAATGAATAATAAATACTTTTTTTTCTATTATACTATTAAAAGTTTATTATTCTCTCTTTTAAATTATATAAATTTATCTTTTTCATATTATGATTGAATGACAATTTTATAAAAGTATTTATAATTTTTAATTTTCATACAATAATTATTATTTTTCTTAATATACATATGTGTGAAAAATAACAAACAATTTATAATAAAAAATAGAAGTGATATTTTTTAATCACGTTGTCAGCATTCATGATTAATAATGGTTCTGCTTTAAACCCCTCAATATAGGATCATAATGGCTCGTTTTTCCCGTCTAATAGAGATCCTAAACTCTCAACATACTTAGGTTGTCTTCGGGACGACGTGAAATGTGTGAAAAACACATGGAATTTTCCTAGAAATCAAACGAATTGTTTTCTCAAACCTGACCATGAGCCCGCTTTTAGAATGAGAACGACCTACTTGATTTTTTCAAAGGCCTTACTCCCCAAAAGTTAAAAGAACATCAACCAATTCCACATATTCCTCAGAGATTAGTTGTTATTTCTTAGGTCTCCATTTCCAACTATAAGAAACTACTACTCATTAGTAATTTTCTAAGTACTTCTTTTAAGTTTCAAAATATTTTGAAAGTGCATATTTTTCCATAAGAAAAATAATCAATAAAAAAATTATATTAATATATTTTAAATTATTTTTTAAAGCACAATAATTATCAAAATAAATAAAATAATACCTCCCTTTTTTTTTTTTACTTTTACATTACACTTTTTTTTTCTATACATTGGTTTTATCTCATCGAGTATTTTAGAAAAAAATAACCATAAAACAACAGTTTTAAATCTTTGTTTTCTTAAATTTTGATATAAAATATTAAAATTTATTACTTTATTACATTCTTCAATAATATATAAGAAAGGACTACAAAACATAAGTAATTTATTTGAAGTACAATATATTATTACTATATTTTATTTATAATGTAATTTTTTTATTTTTTATATTCTAACTTTGTTTAAAATATATGTTTAAAGTATATATGAATAAAAGTAATAATTAATTTAATTAAAATTTTATAAAAATATTTAAAAAGAGAAAGAAGAGAATAAACAAAAAGAAATAATTAATTTGGTCATCCTCATCTTTCTCTTTTTCCATAAAAGAGTAAGTTTTTCTTTGACAAAACAAAAAGCACAACCAGTTACTCCTTATTTTTGGGGTTTTATATAAAAAATGATACACAAAAAATATCAACAAAGAAAATTGTAGAAACACAAAAGTTACATTACAGATTTGAAAACGGGACCCAATCCAAACTAGTTGTCTTGTAGAGGTTCATTGCATGTAAGACAAGTGTGTGAAAGACCAAACACACTTTTGAAATGTTTATCCTTACAAAAATAAGTTTTATTTTTATTACACAAAAATAAATATAATAAAATAAAATATATTTTTATCGAATTTAATTAAATTAAAACTAATTTTTCTTACAAGATAAGTATTAAATAAATTTTTTATATAAAAAGTAAAATAAAGTATTGAAGGGTAATTTAGTAAAGAACTAACCATCTCCTAAACCAATTACCCTATCAAACAAATCCTTCAATTTTCCGCCAGCCCGGATCTTTCGCAACCGTGTTTCAGACCATTTTTCTTCCTGCAGAGCCAAAAGTCACTTATATCCATTTTTTTAATACCAACATTATTATTTTTTAATTATCTTTCCATTTTTAATTTTAAATTATTTTTTTCTTGTCCTTTTATTTTCCACTGCCTATAACTCGAATGAAACTCTCCGCTTTTACGCTGAAACTCTTGCTGTTATAATTATAACTCTCTTATCTTTCTCTCTCAAAACCAACCTTCCTTTCTTGCATGCACTCTCACCTTCACCCTCTTTCTCTACTGCCTTTTTTCACCCGTTAAATAAAATAAATCACAACACAATATACAAAAAACTACACTTAAACGGTGTAGTTTTGATCCATTGTTTCAAAAGAAAACGTGGTTTTTTCAAGTCTTTGTGATGATTTAAGTTGAAAAAACCGTTATCTAGAAACTGATTTTTTTTTTCACAAAATGGCTCGTGCTAGTACTACTTCTACTAACTCAAATAACTGGCTATCGTTTTCACTCTCACCCATGGAAATGCCTCAGTTTGTTCAATACGACGCTGCTTCATCTGTTACTAACTCGTCTCATCAGAATCATCATCACTATTTCCTTGACAATATGTATACTAATGGTATAATAACCGTTTGAATGTTATTTTCAATATTAGTTTATTTTTTATTTAATCTTCGTTTTGATTATTTTGAGTATTTGTATAGGATGGGGAAACGGAAACTCAAAGTCTGAAGCTGAAGCACAAGAACAATCGATTTGGTTTATGGATTCATCTAACGGACAGAGTGTGAACCACCACGCTCCACCGCCGAAGCTGGAGGATTTTCTCGGTGACAGTCAAACGAAGACTCAAGATTCTTCTCTTACACACATGTACGATCACCATCAGCACCATCATCATGGTTCTGCTTACTTCGGTGGGGACCACCACCATCAACACCACCAGCACCAGCATCAGCAGCACCACCAGCATCAGGATCTTAAGAGCATTACCGGCTTTCAAGCTTTTTCAAACAACTCAGGTTCTGAAGTTGATGATTCAGGTTCAATAGGAAAATCACAAGCTGCATGTAACGAGTTTGGAACTCATTGTGTTGAGTCAGGTAACGAGTTCACATACTCCACCGCCGCCGCAACCGCTAATGGTGCTTTGTCCCTTGGCGTAGCTCAGTGTTCTGAGGAAACTGCTATCGTTGTTGCTGATTCAGATAGCTCGAAGAAAATCGTTGATACTTTTGGTCAGCGAACTTCGATTTACCGTGGTGTCACTAGGTAACTAAACTAAGTTTTTTTTTTTTTTCAATTTAAAAAAAACGTCTGTAATCTAGCTTATTTTTTCTAAATCCAAAGGATCTTTTGCTGTCACTGTTTGGTACATTGAAAAAAAGTATAGCTATAGCTATTGATTTACTCAGTTCCTGTCCATCAAGAAAATATTGTGATAATGATTTTAAATATTAAATTAAATTTAGTTACTGATTTATTGACTATAATGAAGTTGGTGTGTGAATGAATTCAGGTTCATAGATTTGATTTGGCATCTTTCATTTTTTAATATTTAAAATTATTAATATAATATTAAAATTTTTGGGATTTTGCAGGCATAGATGGACCGGTAGATATGAAGCGCATCTTTGGGATAACAGCTGTAGAAGAGAAGGTCAAGCCAGGAAAGGACGTCAAGGTGATTTTGTGATTTTCTCTCTGTATTTATTCTATTTTCTATCTCATTGTTGTTGTTGCTGAGTTGAATTAAAGAGTATAATAAATTACATAGTGTTTGATTCTGGAGAAGTGAAAAGTGTCTTGCATGCATTGAAGGTGCATTAATGGTTTTTAGACTAGTAGGACACCTGGGTTACTTATTAGTACTATGATTGATTTGATTTGATTTGATGCTATGGTGTGGTGATGGTGGTATATTATATGTTATATAATTATACGATTATATATTTTCACATTACAGTATATGCTTTTTCACTTGGTACTTTGTTACAGTGTAACACTGCAAATTATCTTTCAATTTCAATTGATTTGATGAAATGTGCCGCCATTTTCTGCACCATGTAAATTGGGTGCCTTTGCTTTCTTGTCTGCTCAGATAGGAGAGAAGAGACCAGACCAGACTCTTTCATTCATATCTGATTAATAATCTGATTTTTTTTCCTTCCATTCCTAAGTGCTTAATTCCGTACTATATTCATAACTGTGATCAATTCAACATCATCATATGTTTATTTGTGTTAAAATGAAAAGCACTTTTTATATTTTTGTTTATTATTTATTTTATGTTTTGCTTTTTTTGCTTTCAACTTAGCAGAGAGAAAAAGCTGCGTTTGACCACATCACCTATCACACACATCACTATTGAAATTTGTACTTTACTTACACTGATGAGGTAGTGAAGGGTTTACTGTTTGATGAAAGGTTTTGTCATAGTTCCTCTCTGAGAACAAGCTCACGGGACTTGTAATTAGATCTCAACTTGCAGATAGATATGCAGATAGATATGAGTAACATCATGATAATATAATGTATCAAGCAAAAGGCAATAAAGTGTCACTGTTATTCATGGTTTGAACTTTTCAGAACAATTAAAATTTGAGGAGTCCTTGTAGTAAAAAAAAGTATGTTGGATAGATAGGTTTTTCATGATTATAATCCAATGTACAGTAGTTTTCTATCCTACGTAGCACCTATAAAGGGAGGGAGAGAGAAAAATTAAAGGAAAAAATAAAAGTTGTGTTGCGCATGCAACTGTGATTGGCAATTATACTTTTATTTTGGCTCATTTTGCATTTTTAGATTATAAAGTAATTTTTGGCAGATAAATTTGACTATATTCCATAAGGTGTTATTTGATATTCTTGGCTTTTCCTTTGCATGGAACGTCACTTGGTGCAATTGTTGGCTGTCATTTATCTTTTTGACTCGTCTACAGTCTATTTGGGTAAGCTGTTTTTAACTTAGTTTTCTTTTTTAAATCTGAATAAATTATGCTTCTCAATATCTATCATAATCTTATAATTTATAGTATTGTATTTGAGAGATGGTTTGTTCACATTGTAAATTGTCATGTTTTGTTTGTAGGTGGATATGACAAGGAAGAAAAGGCCGCAAGATCCTACGATTTGGCTGCTCTAAAGTATTGGGGTCCTACTGCTACTACCAACTTCTCTGTAAGAGTCACTTCTTGTTTAGTTTTCTATGTACAAAGAAATCCTATGTTGTAAAAAGATTGAAAAAAATATTGAAGTGGGTATAAAGAAGGAGAGATTCCACTAAAGATTCATTTTTAATTCATATAAGTGTGTACTTAAAAGAATGTGGTTGGTGTGAAAGAAATATGCTTTATTTGGCATGCAAAATTTTGAGGCTATGGTGCTAAAGTGAATTTGGTATCATCTTAAAATGAGGACTTAAAAATCTTGTACACACGACTTTAAGATGTAGTAATTGTAGACCGTTAAGGATCTTTGCAACGGTCTCAGATTTGTTGGAACTTTGCGGCGACTTTAAGATGCAGCCAATTGTAGGATCTTTGCTGCGATTGCAGATCTATTAGATGTTTGCGGCTAAAACCAACTGTTCTTACTATCCATATAATAAGAATTAAGATTGTGCATGAATCAGCATTACACCTTTCATGACTTATCTTACTATCCATATAATAAGAATTAAGATTGTGCATAAATCAGCATTACACCTTTCATGACTTATCTTACTATCCATATAATAAGAATTAAGATTGTCCATGAATCAGCATTACACCTTTCATGACTTATCTTACATATTGTTATTTTCTTGTCTCTCAGGTTTCAAATTATGTGAAGGAATTGGAAGAGATGAAAGTTGTAACAAAGCAAGAATTCATTGCTTCATTGCGAAGGTTAGTCTGAGCTAGCCAATTAAAATTGTATCACATCTTACATTCAGCTACTAAAAACTGGATATATCTTCTTGCAGGAAGAGTAGTGGCTTTTCAAGAGGAGCTTCCATCTATAGGGGTGTTACTAGGTTTGTAATTTTAATTGATGCAACAGCTAAGTTATTCAAATTGTGTTGCAAGGTTCAATCTTTTAACACTTTTTGGGTTCTACAGGCATCACCAACAGGGTAGGTGGCAAGCAAGAATCGGCCGTGTTGCCGGAAACAAAGACTTGTACTTAGGAACATTCGGTGAACATTTTACCTTGAATTATTAGATTTGTAAAATAGCGCAAAGTTCAACTTTTCTCTATTGAAATATTGATCTGTGCATATCGCATGCTAACAGCTACTGAAGAAGAGGCAGCTGAAGCATACGACATTGCAGCCATCAAATTCCGAGGTGCAAATGCCGTAACAAACTTTGAGATGAACAGATATGATGTTGAAGCTATCATGAAGAGTTCTCTACCTGTCGGTGGGGCAGCAAAACGCCTGAAGCGTTCTCTGGAGTCAGAACAGAAAGCTGCTGCCATTAACAACAATCAGCAGAACAATCCTCAGCAGTGTGCTGTTAACACCATTAACAGCAACAGCAACAACATCAATTTCTCAGCCATTCATCATCATCATCAGCAGCCAATGGCTTCAATCCCGTACGGAGTTCCATATGATTCAAACACAGCATATTATCATCACAATCTCTTCCAACATTTTCATCCTATTTCAAATGATGGCACTGCAGAATCTGTTGTCACTTCCACCAATGCAGCAAATGGTGGACTTAATGCTATGCCACCAACATCAGCAGCTGAGTTCTTTTTATGGCCTAATCAGTCTTACTGACTTCGATTGGTGCTATTAATTAGATTTATCTTTTCCTTATTTCTTGCTTTGCAAACTAATCAAAGTCTAAAGCTATAATCTCTGGCACAGTTTCATCTGACCGTCTTTTATGATCTCATTTGTATGATTAACCCGTTAGGAACTAATCCAAGATATATGAGGTTTTTTGAGTTTGCTAATCTTAGTTACAATGGGAAGCTGGATTATGTAACTAGTTAACTTCTCAGATTATGAGGATTATTTTTAGTGGTGCATATTATAGTTTTGCTCAAAATTATTATTCCAAAAAGCTTCTCTTCACTTCCCATATTAGTCTTGATGATGACGACATTGCTTCTGAATATAATAGTTTAACATTTGGATCGATTGGAGTAGGAGAAAGAGTAGTAACAAATAGTGTAGTAAATAGTTTTAGGAAAATGCAAGAGAGAATGAGTGTTGAAAACAATCTTGGTATTATGCACGGATATTTATTGTATTTGGGTTGGTTTAATGCATGTTTATTTATTGCATATTATGTTATGCGTTGAAATTAAAACAATCATGCAAATTTTTGATTGCATTGATATTATATGTGCATTAGACCAACTCCAACGGTGGTTTTTCACATTGGTTTGCCAGCTTGGCATTGAAAATGTCAACAAAATGTTATTCCAGCTGTAGAACGTTACAATCATAAGCAACGGTTCTTCATTTGGTTTATTATTAAAATAATCATTTAGCTTTATTTTATTTTTTTAACTTTTTTATTTATTATAAATAAAATTTATATCATTCCTATTTTCTCTCCTTTTTTATTTCTATTTTCTCTCCTTTTTATTTGCTCTTTAATTTCAAATTTCTCTCTCACAATTTCATCATTTTATTCATAAATATTTATTTTTTTTCCAACAATTTCTTCTCATTATCATTTTATTTCAAATTTTCATCTTTTTATTTCAAATTACATTTGTTTAGGCCAAATTTTCATCTTTTTATTTCAAATTATATTTGTTTATGTGATGTTATTTATTTTTATTGTTTTTAATTATGTGATGTTATTTATTTTTATTGTTTTTAATTATGTGACATGTATTTAAATTTAATTTTAATTATTATTTTCAATTATATGTTTAATTTTAATTTTATGTTTAATTTATATTTATATTAATTAAAATTTAAATATTTAAATTATAATTTTAAATAAAATAAATTTAATATAAATAATATATTTTAAATAAAGTGGTGGGACCCAATATGGGTTCTTTGAAGTTGCACCATTGGAGTGAAAATTGAATAAGTTGCTTTAAAAGAGTGGGTCCCAACAAAAACCCAAAAATGGGTTGCACCATTGGAGGTGCTCTTAGTTTTATTCATAGAAATTAATGCTATTTTTCTCTCAAATAACTCCTTTATAAGTAAGGTTTTGGAGAATTTTATTTTTAGGTTAGGAGACTTAAAACACTTCGTATTAATTTGGTAGGAGAAAAACTAAACAAATAAATAGTGTTGAGAAGATGCGCTAAAAAGATCTGTGACAGTTTTTCTAAATTTTATTGAAAAGTGTAGTGACATGATATAAAATCTCCTACGTGTTTGACAAGATATTTTATATTTTAAGTATATATTTTTTATGATAATTTCTAAGGAATTTAATGTTTATTTGTATTTTTTAATAAATAATTATGAGTTTGGTTTATTTAAAAGATTAAATTCGAAAAAATCTCAGATAATTTGCACAAGAAAAATGCAAAGATAAATATTTTTGACTTAAATGCTTGAAAACTAACTAACAACCTTTAAATGTAGAATTGATTTGAAAAGATAAAGTACAGAAAAAATATAATAATTTTAATTTTTGGCAAAATATTTTTTTGAGCTTATAAATTATAATTTATAGTTTATAACCTAATATGACAATAAAAGATATGTTTGGTAACAGCCATTTTATTACGAATTTATAATTTATTTTAGTAGTTTATAGTTTATTTTTTCAACGTTATTTTAAACAACGTTTTATTTTATAGCTTATAGCTTATCCTTTTCACTTTCAATTTTGTCATTATTTTATCTAAAATCCACTTCTACGCTTTATAATTACTTTAATTTAAATAAAATAATTATATAATAAATATCTTTTATGTTTATTTTAATTTATCAATTAATTGAACTGTTAATTTATCAAACACTTTAATTAGCTTATTAGCAATAAGTCATTAATCATCTTCTATAAGCTATAAACTATCAATCATCAGTCATCAGTGATAAGTTATAAGCTATCAGCTAATTTATCAACTAACCGCTATTTTTACCAAACAAAACTTTAGAGAAATTTAAAAGATGGACGCAGACTCATAAATTTCTCACGATAAGTGAAATTTGTGACTTCGATCCCATACACTAAGATTGAGTTATATACTACTAATACAATAGTAACCGTCAACAACAAATAGATTTCCAGGATCTGACCCAGATCCCACTACATAGACTTCATCACTCTAACTTGCTTCCACGCATCTTCAAAGATAAAACTGCTGAAAACTAGCCATCATGCTGATAACTGCGTTGATAACTACTTTGAACCTTTTGTGAGTGCAAGTTTCCGTAAGATGTATTTTGCATGATGTCAAAACTAGGATACTTTAGCGTTAACATATATTGGACGATATCCTCTGATTCTAAATGTGAGGAAGTATTAAAAGTTTTTGAAAAAGTTTCATACATAAAAAATGCATTGAAAATAAATTTTTGTGAAAAACATTACAGTATGTGTCGACACATAGAAGGAAATTTTTTCGTTTTGTTAACAGATTCATCCCTCAGGTTGGCACATATGTTGCAGTATTAAAGCATGTAGGTTATGTCCATGTGTCGCCTCTTATAGTACTCTTGACCGATGACATGGTCATTTTCGGTGATCTACTTGGATTAATAGAAGCAGAGCTGGCATCTTCGAATTTAAGACATTGCAACGACATCCCAACTATGCCTTCATCAATCTCGACATATCAGAAGGATGATAACTCACTTACTAGAAAATATTATTCATCACAAACGATGACCATTTGATCGTCAAACATGAATTTCAACTTCTGATGCAATGTGGACGTAATTGCCATTGCTGCATGAATCCAGGGTCGACCCAATAAACAACTATATACATGATTAATATTCATCACTTGGAAAGTAATGGTAAATAAATGCATCCCGATCTTGATGGGTAGATCCACTTCGCCAATAACTTGCCTTCGAGAATCGCCAAAAGCTATGACAACTAAAGCGCTCGGCCTCATCTCGCTCCCTTCTACCAGTAGTTGACCCAATGTGCCCTTAGGCATCACGTTGAAAGAAGAACCGGTATCCACAAGAGCACGAGATAGAAAAGAGTCAATACAAGTTACTGATATGTGAAAGGTTCTATTATGGGCAGTTCCTTCAGGAGGCAGCTCTGACTCGTTGAAACCTAAATACCAACATGCAGTTATGTTTGCGACCACATCATAAAATTGTTCTATGGGAAAATCGTGCATTACATGAGCAGTGTTGAAAACTTTCAACTAAGCCGATCTGCGCGCAGGAGAGCTCATGAGTAAAGACAAGATTGAAATCCTCGAAGGATTTTCCCCAGCTGATCCATAATCTTAAAATCGCTCTTAATGATCAGCTTGAGAAACTCTTGATTATTCATTACCTCTTTACTTTTTCCAACATCCATAGACGAAGTGACTGACACTGACGCAGCGGTAGATGCCCATTGTTTCACAACAAGGGTTGTTGAAGCATACTTTTTCTTAGGAGGAATAACATTTGGAACTTTCACTAGCTTAGATGTGACCTTCGGAGCAAACGCTCGTCGGCTACGAGTCATTCCTCTAGTAGCAATTACATTCATAATTTCGGATTCTGAAAAACTGAATTTCTAGACCCCCAAAAAACACGGTGGAACCATACTTTCAAGGAACCTCTTTTGAATTGTGATACGAGAATGACTTTGGCGCACAAACAGTGATAGGATGCATTTTCTTCGTAGGAGCTTCTATGAGAATCTTCTATTGTCGCAATTGCGAAAAAGGGTCGGCAGAAACAAACAGAAGAGTCGCCACCGAAGGTTATTTATCCCAAAAGAGAGGGAAAGGAAACAATCAAAGAAAACCTAAGAGAAATGAAAAGACAAGGTCATCACAACCAAATCTTGGATTCGGGAGTCGGTTACGCAAGGGGAAGGTATGAGCACCCCTCACGTCCGTTGTACTCAACGAGATCCACGCTTGTTGTCTAATCTATGGGTGAAAATATCTAAAAATCTACTGCTAAACGGGGGTGAATGGAAAGAAAAGACTCGATAGAACATCACCTCCCTATGCCTACATATTCCCTCGTGCAATGGGAAAGTCAGAGTCAACGTAGTTCGGGAAACTACGGGTGATGGGGGGAGGTTGCTCGCTAAGACATCATCGTCTTGTGCCTACGTATCCTCACCTGGTATGAGAAATCAGAGCAAACATAGTTCGGGAAACTACGGGACAAGGTTGGTTAAGTGTTTTATGAGCAATGTTAAATCTTCGTTCTAGCAGTTAGGGACGATGCCTGTTTGCGGTAGAACAAAAACATAACATACTCTTTCTGAAAATGAGGTTTGAAAACAATCCCGAAGGATGAAAGGGTTTGAATTTGGTTTGTGTTTTTTAGAAGAAGTGAATTGAGTTAATTTGAAACTTATGTTGCACTAAAGATTATGACATAAGAGCGAATGCGTCGCATATCGCCCAAAGGGCATATGCTAAACACTCTAGATAATGTGAAGAGAGACCTCCCCACTTATCATTCCTCATGTATTCAAAGCTCGTAGCGTACAATGTAACACCCCACTTCCCAAATTAAATAAAATATAAACATTATAAATAAACATCAGAGTTTTCCCCAAAATAGTGGGATATCACATCACCAAATTTTTATAAAAATACTTTATTAATTATTCTCAAAAATAATACAGCGGAAAACATTATTCCAACATTCTCGGT